TATATATATATATATATATTATATATAATTTAAAAATAATAAAATATCTACGTGAAGTAAGGATTTTAACATCGCTGTAGAAAAAGTTGTCAGAATAGCCCAGGAGATAGACAAGAAAATGGAAAATGGCTCAAAAAACAAACTGTCACTACTAGCATATGCGGATGACATTGTCATAATTGGAGCATCTCAAGGGCAGGTGATGAGATTAACAAAATTAGTAACGGCTGCCAAGAGCATTGGTCTGATCATTAATGAAGAGAAGACTAAATACATGGTTATTTCTAAAAAGGGATGATCCCACAAAGAACATCTAACCGCAGACAATATGACATTCAGCACTACGGAATCCTTCAAGTAGGCCTATTTAGGGACTGACATAAACAAAAACAATAATATCAAGAAAAAGATCGCTTGCTACAAAGTAATAAAATCTACTTGGAGCTCACAAACATACTAAAAAGCAGACTCTTTAGTAAAAGGACTAAACTAACTATACGAGTCGCTGATTAGACCTGCGATTCTGTATGGATGTGAAACATGGTCAGTGACAAAGCAGGAGGATCGACAACTACAGAGATTCGAATGGTTAATGGATAATGGAGACCAATATGGAGAAAAAGAACAAACCAGGAACTGAAGACAATCTACAGAAAGCCCATGATCAGACAGGTGATTAAAGCCAGAAGATTACAATGGCTAGGCCATGTTGTAAGGCTTCCTATAATGGCAACAGCTTCAAGAGGGCTTCACTATGAGGGGAAAGAGAAAAGGCCAAGAGGCCATCCCAGAAAAAGGTGGATAGATGGGGTCACTGAAGATCTTCAACACCTCAAATCGAAGATTGGCAGAGGCAGGCTATAGACTGAACGAGATGAAGAAAGATTGTGACTGAGGCTAAGGGCCTTCAAGGTTCATAATGCCAGATGAAGAAGAAGAATAGTGCAAAAGTTCGAGGACGGCTTATAGTTGCTTACTTTGAATAGTTTAAAACACCGACGCACTATCATTTTCAAACTAATCCTCTTGGTCGACGACACATTGTTTCCTGTCATGCTCTTTTTACCTCATTTGATAACTGAGAACGGCCTGAGGTCGTTTCCATATCTTTGAATCATCATGTCATTCATATTTTGCTTTTTTTCACATCATTAATTATTAACTCATTTGTTACTAAGTAGAATAAGCGTTATTTAACACGGATAGGCTTAGTATTTTTATGTACAAATTGCTTTTTGTAATTTTATTTTTTGAAGATTTTTCCACTTATGTTAAATCCAGTTTCTGCCACCAGATCTTCGTACATAAAAGGAAGCGTGAAATATATATATATTTCATGACAACAAAAGTCAGTTTCGCCTTAGCTGCACGTTACAATAGAGCCAACACTGCACACACAATACACAAATTGATAAGTTTTATTAATTGAATAATCTGAACATGTTCCCCGAATTGTCTCCTTTTTTAAGTACATTTGAATACAAACGCATATTATGACTTCTATTAAATGTTAGTAGTAATAATTCCAAAGAGTTTATATACAAAAATTATATTTACGTTTCGTGTCACATAACACAAAAATTCGAATTTAGTTCTCAATGTCTCATTTTTACAAGCGTTTATTTTACAATTATACATTATCTGTCTATGTATTATAGACAGATAATGTATAATTGTAACAGTACAGTAAAACCCGTTAAGATGTTCTCGCCTAAAATGTTAGATTGTATATGGGGACATGATTTAGTTCAACCACTTTGACGCTTAATAACTAACTCCTGTGTTAAACCATCTGACTCCGATTCTGAACACTCTGACCACAGAAATTACTAGGCTTCAAACAGGGTGAACAAAATCATGCATCACACACACAGTCTAACATCCACACATATGCAAAAGATTCAAGGCTTTTTTCTATATCTCGAAATTTCAGTGTCCCGAGTCCAAACATGTAAAAATTTGGGAGGGGTGATTTTTTGACCGAGCGCTATACTTTTCTTCTGTTATATATAACAGCCGGAAAAATATAAAAATTATCGAATACATATTTATATATTACTTAGAGGAGTCTTTTAGCTTTGGAATAAAAAGTTTCTACGTTCTATCTTTATTTATTAGAACTCTGTTTATTGAATCTTTTATTCTGAGGTCACGCGAGGGCATCAGAATTTCCGGGTCTCTTTTGGTAACAAGTCCGCTCCTGGTCGGAGTCGGAGTAGGTAGATTTTTACGCGACTCCACAGCCCTACTATATTTTGAAATTATTAATGCAGTTTTATCTGGCGGCAAACTTAATTTGCTTCAGATGGACTGCAGTCTTGAGGACTATAAGATATATTTATTTTAGGAACGAAGGACATTACAGCCCGATAAGTTTTCAGTTGTCTCTCTAAATGCAAAAAAAGAAAAATAATGTTTTTAGAAGTATTGTACAGATAGATTTACATCACATAAAATAAGATCATAAAATTAGAAAGTAATTTTGTATAAATTTGTAACATTATATTCTTTTCTTTATTCTTGTTTTCTTTTTTCTACTCTTTATTTGCTTCCTCTGTTTCCTATTTCCTGAACATAAAGCAAATAGCATGAAAATCAGAACTGCAGTATAACTTCTGCATTTATCTCCGAATATAATCTGCCATAAAACATTTTTGTTTCTAATGAAGGAAAATGGTATATAATCTACACACGAATGTAACAAAATATTAAAAAAAACTTTTCAATAAATCTGAAACTAGGCGCAAATTCGTCGAAAAAGAGCATCACTAATGTAGTCACGTGACTGTTTTCTTTCAATGATTCGCGATGTCATCACTCATGAAATAGAGGTTGCGGCGCAAATTCAAACGTTACTTGTACACGGCAAGCAGAAGTATACGGTTTACGTTTTAATTCCAAGAAAAAATCGTTGCGGCGCACGTTCGCAACATCACGTGACTTACAAGTTAGTAAACGTCGCGCATTTCCTCACGGGAAATTTGTTGAAAAAAATGGCCGTTACATTTAATATCGAGGGTTACCAGCGAAGTTAAATAAACAAATTAAACTATTTTAGAGTATTTATAGGATGTTTAATAACACTAAATAACTATTTTTAATTAGCGTGATGTCTCCTACCGTACGATCGGACGATAGGACTAAATCATACTTTTGTGCGAGGGACATAGTGGCTTATGTCAATTCAAAAGCAGCTCGGAAAATTAAGTTTTAGAAAATTTACAAATGTATTACGCTGTTGATGGTAGAAGATACTGTGGAAGAACAAACCTACCTTAAGATAAGCTATTATGAAGATAAATATATGTAAATTCTATAGGCACTTCGCATCACTTGCTACAGAATTGAATAATTAAATAATTTTTGGATTAAAATCGTCTGTTTCTTTACAATATTATTCGTAAATGCTTAAATAATCATTATTGCAATAAAATAGGTCATAATTTTAACTCCAAACACACAGAAAATGAAGTTTAATCCTATCTTATACTCATCATGCTAGACGTAGCGAACGCCATTATCGACCTTCTAGAATTGCCAGATGGCGGCGCTCGACCGTCCACCGTTCACGTCTTGGGCTGAATACGACGGCCGCAACCTCTCTACCTCATAACGTACTGTACAGTACTTTTAAAGAACCCATAAACATTTCCACTACTACACTACGAACTATTTCTCGGAAAGATTAGTTTACAAAACGATGAAAATATGTGATCACGATTGTATTGCTTATAGCTTCGTGATACAATCTCGTGTAGTCACAGCAGTGACTCTTCTCCGTTTGAGCTTTTGTTCTTCTGAGTAAGATTTTGAGTAAAATTCATTTCTTTCGATGCAATTTTAAGAATAAAATTAAGCCATAAAAGTGAAATATTTCTATAGGAAATCTCAGTGAACTTTAACCTATCGACCTGGAAGTTTTGCGAGCACCTCACTGATAACGACGACGGCTTAAGTTTAAAATTTGAACTTTCTGGACCTAGTAGTTTTTTTTTTCCACGATCGTCTACAGTGCCGGTTGAAGAAAACGAAGAAAATACAGCTTTTTTGACAATTTTTGCACTTTTCAATTGTTCGTGTTTTGGCAACTGCTTTATAGAAAATCTTGAAATTGTGCACATTACCTAAGATAACAATTACCTTTCAAACGAGATATTCAGAATTAGCCTACTTTACACGTTTGGAAGTGGAGAAATCGACCTCCGAAAATCGGCAAATATGATTTCTCCATATATATAGTCGGTCAGTGACCTTTTTACTTGATGGAGAGTCACTGCTATGACTCTCGATACGCGAATTCGAAGAAATTGGAACAAGTCTCGATAACATTATAGAGGAAGACTTTTTAAAAAGACATGGCAGGATAAAAACAGAGAAATGCCTCTGTACTACACGAAATAATACAGGCAGATAATTTCTTGACTACTGATGGCATCAATGCCAGGTTAAAAAACTACAATCAATATATATAAATGAAGATTGTTTGGATGTTCGATTTAGACTCCTAGGCTGTTTGACCAATTGCTACAAAACTCGGTATTTACGTTTACATACTTTTAACTTAGATAATGTCCTACATCTCACCCCAAAATATCTATTGGATTTCTATAAATCAATTAATTTTTAGCTACATTCGATTTTCTGATTTACACGTAGCGCCATCCATTTGCAAAAATTTAACAAAATAATAAACTAAATATAATTTTCAATAATATGTATTATCATTTCTGAACGGTGTAGCGTTGCCGTAACTAAATAAACCAAAATAATTCTAAAGAGCTATTATTTATTGTGATATCGTAACAATACCAGGATGAAATGTTTCTTCAGAATGTTCTCAATTCTTTTAGTGGTGTCTTGACACTGTACGTCATACTGTTCCTGTTAGTAATAGAGTCGTGCCAACTATCTATCTAACTCCTTTTAGGAGAAAATTTTGAATTAAATTAACGTGACTTTCGGTTTGTGTCGGAAGTTCATATATAGTTAATCTGGCCTCCTGACCTTAATCTTTCCATATTTGGTCTTATTTATGTCTACAATTTGAAAAAATTGTAGACATAAATTCTTTCAAATTTCAGCCCAATAATTTTTCCATAAAGGCAATATTTACGAGGACATACTTTCCACGTAGTTTATACAATCTGTTGCCAAAATTTAAACACTATTATCATATATAAGCAATTATTCTAATATTTTTACAAGATTTTTTTAANTACATGCCACATTGTTAGGAAATTCCTGAATACAGACACACACACTGACACACTTCTTTAATTTTAGTTTTGTTTTGGTTGCTATGCCTTGACTTTGGTCCGGCGTAGTACATAGCTACCGGTGTGAACCGAGTATAACTCACAAAACATAACAACAGTAATAATAATAGTGAGCACAGAGTCCAAATGGTTAGGAGTGGAAAGTTGAAATTTGGCACACAGGGTACCTCATAAGAATGTACACTAAGAAGGGATTTTTGGAAATTTCACCCCATGGGAAAGAGGGAGAGGATTAAGGATTACCCTGAAGAACTCGGCTTCTACTGTACTATTTTAGATGTGGTTTTTTGCATTTTGTGGGAAATCAAACATATTTTTGATTCATCTGAAAATTCTCTAATTAATCTTGGAAGAGGGGGAAACATAATTCTTGACCCAGTGAAAACGGGTAAGATC